TTTCCCACCCTTTCCAAAATAAAACCACCTCCCGGGCTCTTTCGCTCCCCTCCCCCCTTCTTTCCCCCCTCAGTGAGGCGACGTTTCCCCCTCGGTTAAAAATGCAGCTACGCAGAAAAAATGAGGGAACGCAACAAAGCCACACTTTATTCCCTCCCCGAGCGCCTCGTCCCCAAAGGCCGAAACTTCTGCGAAGGGACTTCCCGCTTCTCTCCCCTTTGTTTACGGGGGAAGGAAAGGCCGAAAGACGCCATTGAAAAGGAGGAGAGTCTACCCCCCGTTTCGGGACGGGAGAGGGAAGGGCAAAGGGGATCCCGTATAGGGTGTAGAGGCCCAACCGTTTTCCCCTCACAGCCACGGCTAAAAAGAGAGAGTTGCTCTTGATTTTTCGGGGGTGGGGGTGGGGAGGTGCATTTACCTTCGTCCAGCAGCCTCTCGAGGTGGTTGAATATCCCGCAGAAGTTGGGGAGGCTGCTCATGAGCTTCTTGTCGTTCATCAGCTGCATCAGGTAATCGGGGCTCGGCTTGGGCTTCTCCTTGGTTTCCATTTCCCCAACCATATTCCAAGCGCAGGGAGAGAGCGAGCGAGCGCCCGCACCAGCACTCGCCCAACCACCGCACTGGGCGCCCGCCAGGCGGGGAAAGAGACGGGGTGTGTGTTATGTGGGCTTGAAGCGCGAGGGGGGGAGGAGGCCTTTACCCCCCTAAAACCGGGGGGGGGGTTAGAAGGAGGAAAACGAGGGAGCGGGGAAAAGGGGGGCGCCGTCAACGAAGAAGCCACCAAAGCACACGCCGCTGGGTCCCGGGCGAGACAGAGAGAGGAGGAAAAAAATAAGAGGGGGAAACTCGGTGACCCCCCCAACCCCTCCGCCTCCACCACCACCACGGAGGGCTGCGCCCTAGTCTTCCTCCGCCGCCGCCGTTTCTCCCTGTTTCCAGTCGCCGCTCCCACGGGAAGCCTTTCCCCACAGCGCCGTGCGCCCGCGGCCGGCGCAGTCTCCGGTGTTTCCCTCGCCGCCGCCGCCGCCCGCTTCGCCTCCTCTCACCCGCCGCCGCACACGCAGACGTTGGCCGCGGTTCCTTCTCCTCGGCGCGGCTGCTGCTGCTGCCCCCTGGTCTGTCTCCGCGGCGGGGAAGGGAGGGAGGGAGGCGGGCAGGCAAACGGGGGGCGGGCTTGGCTACTGTTTCGCGAGGAGTCCTCTCCGCCGCCGCTTGTAAGGCTGTTCCCGGCCACCGGTGGTGCTGCTTCTGCTGCTGCTGCTGCTGGTGGTGGTGGTGATGCCGCCGCCTCGCCTCCCGCTCCGCCTGCCTCCCTCCCCTCCCGCTGGGGCCGTTTGCTTGTGGCTGGCGAGTCTCTGTCCTGCCGCCGCCGCCGCCGCCGCGGTGCCTCCTCCTCCTCCTCTTCTTCCTTCGTCTTTCTCCTCCTCAGTTCGCTCCGGAGTTCGCTTCAGTTCAGCGCTGGCGGCGGCAGTAGCAGGCAAGCAACGGCGGCGGCGGGAAGGGGAGGGCGCGGGGGAGGGGCGGCAGCAGCGAAGGAGGCAGGGGCGGGGCGGCCGTTAATCAGCGAGCGGCGGCGGCGGCGGCGGCAGCGCCACTTGGCGGACTCAGGCCGCCCCGCCCCTACTCAGAGCCTGACGAAGAACAGAGCGGAACCCGGCGGGGGGGGGGAGCTCCAACTACCGCGCGCCAAAAAGAACGCGGCGGCGCTGCGCACACGGATATATACACACGCAACGCACTACTGTATATGTGCCTGCTTCGGTGTGACGGGGGCGCGCGCGCGCACGAGCAATCTCGTGCCGCCGCCTTAAGACTACTTTTACGTTCGACATGTATATGAGGGGAGGGGGGTTAAGGTGTTGTTGCTTTTGGCGCGCGTGCGCGTTACCATCGGCTGGCGCCTCCCCCCCCCCCGAACCACCGCCGAATTTCCACGAAAAATCGTCTGAGCGCACGAGATTAGAAACTCCTTAAAGAAACTCTTGTTACTTCACCGATCTTACATTGGGGCGGGGCCCGGTCACGTGCCGGTGGCGGGGGGGGGGGAGTCCTGGTTGTGTCGCGGTTCTAACTAAGACGCATGCGCCTAGAGGGATACGGATACGCGCGCTCCCTCGCGCGCGCTTTCAATTTTGCCGCGGCCCTGCCCCTCTCCCTGTCTCTCCCCAAGCGTTGGAATGGAATGGGAGGGGCGAGGCTGAATGGAGCCCCATGCGCCTGCGCAGAGCGAGAAACCAGAGTAATTTTGTTCTATCCCCTTGAAGCGGTACGGGGGAAGAGCGGCTTCTCCGTGGGGGAAAAGGAGCTCGAGGCACACGCGCCCGTTGGCGAACTCTCCTTTGCTCGGCTCGCGTTCAGTCCCCACCGAGGTTGCGAGATGTAGTGTGCACGTGTCGCCCGCTGGCTCTCCTAACGCGCGGAGCCGTGTCGTCCTTTTGCCACAGGAACGCAGCACCGCCGAGCCAGCCGCTTGTGGCAGCGCGATGCTCGGCAGTTGGCGCGCCTCGCGGCCACCTCAACCCTCCCGCGCGCTGCTCGCGGGCGCCCTCAAGCCCCGCCCCGGTCGCCTCACGCGGGGACTTTCCCCGCAACGAGGCTGTCTTTTGCTCCCGGGTCCTGCTGGCCTCTGCCTCGCGGGATCCCTCCTCTCAGGAGCACCTGTCCTTCCCGCCGGGGGAGCGGCAGACTGGCGCTGTTTTAACGGTCTCGCCGCGGCCAGACGGGGCAAGCATCCTTGTGAATGAGGCGGAGGCAGGAACCTGCGTGTGACTCGCCTGCCCCCCCCCCCGAGGGCCTCGGCTCCCCCCTCCATGGGCGCTCTCCCTTGGGGGCAAGCCCCGTGCGGAATGCCGCGGGGGTCGCTCCCAAGCCCAGCACGGCACGGGCTTCCTCTTGGTGTCCCTGAAGTCTGGCGTGCCCGGCGGCCGCCGCACAAAAACACAAGCCGGCCGCGGCCCGGTTGTCTGAATCCCTTAAAAGGGGTGGGGAGTAGGCGCGGACCGTTGCTTTTCCATCCAGGACCGCCCTCTCCCTCCAAGCGCAGAAGCCGTGGCCGTCCTCGCCTTCCTCCCGGCTCTTGCATGCTCGACCAAGGAGGCAACTTGGCATACGAAACGAAGCCCGTCACCTGCTGCTCCGCCCCCCCCCCCCGAGGTTTTCAGTGCTTAAACCTCTCCTAAGCACCCCCTGCCTCTTTCAGCCAAGGACGGGTGTTACCTGATCCTGCAACTGTCATTGTGGTCCGCGGAATTTGCAAGCCTCCAGACCGCCCTCCCTCCACCCACCCAAACGGGCTGCACGGATTCTCCCTTCTCTCCCCCCCCCCCCCACCCGCTTCTCTTTCTCAGGGTTTTCAACGCGTACCGCAGCCGCATCGATGCCACAGTTCTCTCTCCTTTTAAATTCACCCCTATTTACATCAAATTTACGTAAATGTGAATGTAAGTATTTCAGAGGGCAGACATTGTCTTTCTTTCGTTGTTCCAAGGTGGACGCCTTTTTTGCTGCTTGTTCAGCCGCAACACACGTGAAACAGATCATACCGAAGTAACCGGATTCCTTTTCTTTTTCAGTCGTCACACCCACATACCTCTGTCTGATCATGTACTACTTTTTTCGGTGTTAACATTCATGTTGGTTCCCTCCTTATATAGTGTATGTTCTACCTCCCAAAAAAATTGCCTTAAAAATAGAATCGATCCCATACACACTTTCATAGAAGTGTTTATTTACTTCTCCGAAGCATTCTGAGAAAATGTACACAGGATCAGACTGCAAGACAGATTTCTATTCTAGGTGAGGCATATTTTCCTGAAAATAATTCAGAGGGACTTGCCAAGCACGTGTCCCCTATTTATTCAAAAGCATATTGCACTTTGTTCAACAAGTCTTGCCCTACAGAAGTGTGCTCAGGTTTAGAGTGTTACTCAGAAATTCCTACTAAAATTGATGTGTAAAACACATTAAGGTAAATATGAGAGAAGTTCTTGTTTGTTTATGCAGTTCTCCATATTTAAGCAAAGGGATATTGATAAGATTTATTACTTGGCAAAGCTATTTTAAAGAACTGCATTTATACAGTATTATCCTTATGAATGCATCCAATTATTTTGTGAATCAAAATATTATGGTACTTCCCCCAAGACCTGATGTGAGTACTAGGGCTTTACAGGGCTAATGTCAAATTCAATCAAACATCTGCCCTGAAATTTAGAGGGAAGTTGCTTCTATTAATGTTGGTTCTACTAAAGATATATATATATATATATATATATATGGAATGTTATTTGTGTTCAAGTGTAAGGTACTATTTTTTCCTTCTTTTTGCATCTGTGCTTAATATATATGATAGAAAAACAAACTTTACAAATGTATAGGCTAAACTTTTAAAATGTTTTCTTTCAACGTGGCTTATTTTCAGATCTAGAAAAAACAGTATCTCGTAGCCCCATCCTAAACATGCTTGCTTAGAGGTATGTTTATAATGGAGCATGGTCTAGCCAGAGATAAGCACTTTAACAAAATCACATGTTAAAACATGTACTACAGGACCAGACTAGATGTGACAGTAGCAGCCACAGCTGGCTATTCATGTCTGCCCCATTTTCATCTAAAACCATGAGGGTCCACGTTTTACAATGAGAGGGACCCGTGGGTGAAAATAACATCCCTACGATTGCTTACCATCACCACCACCCACTCACTCTCCATCACTTCAAACATTGTTTCTTTCCATCATTTCTCACATGTTTTGTGATTGCAGCCAGGCTGGGATAAAAATGTATGCGGCAACAGAGTAAGATGGAGCATTCAGCTCAACTTTTGTTGTAAAACCCACTTTGCATACCCTGTTTTCAGACATGAGCCGTTAGCATGGTGGATCCCATCATGTCTAGTTTGGCCCTTTTTGTTTGTAGCTTTGGAAGTATCTGAAGAGGCCTGAAGCACCAAACAGAAAGTCTTTGAACTGATCCTTCAGAATGCAGCTGATTTAATACAGCTGGGATAGCTCAGCTAGTACAGCATGAGACTCTAAACCTCAGGGTCATGGGATCAAACCCTACGCTGGGAAAAGGATTCCTGCATTGCAGAGGGTTGGACTAGATGACCCTTGTGGCCCCTTCCAACTCTACCATTCTATGATTAGTGTGATCAATGATCATTGTTTAGGCTAAAGACCTCTGTGCCTTGAAATGCACAAGTACTTCTGCAGGCAATCTAAAAGGTATTTGTTTAATCTAGAGTTCTGTTCTTTTTACCCCTCTGTTTGCTTTGTTTATGGATCCAATGGCATATTCTTTCACTCTCCTCCGTGTGACTACTCCTCATTTACACATGTGCACAACTTGCCTGCTCTCATGTTCTTTTCAGGAAGATCCTGATGCTTTCATGAGTCTTGTTTAATATTGTCACTAGGCAACTGCTCAAATTGCCATGGGATTAGTCTGTTCTTCCCATTGAAATGGCAACAAAGGGGAGACATAATTCTCCATGTGACCTTGTCGCATCAAATCTGGTGATCACACATTCCCTGGGTGTGACCCAATCTCATAGCTTTGTTTTGCTAGCTTCCTTCCTTTTCCTACCCTAAAATAGAAAATGGCTCCGGTTTGTAATAATCTTTGCAGAATTTGCCAGCTAGCTGAGACATTAATAGTGGCAAAGTGCAGGTGCCTTGAGGGCCACATTCTGCACCTACCTAGTCTATCATTCTGTCTTCTTTTAAGTGCTTCTCAAGAGTGCTTTCTTCACTGTTGCAACTCACACAGGGTCACACACAAAAAATAAAAAAGGAACTGTGAGCATTTCTGGCTTCAGTTTGATCATTTCATCTGCCAAAAGTCTATTGACACTCTTGAAACATTCCTCTGACTACAAGTGCTGACCTGATTTTCAGCTTTGTTCCACATTTGGATGGTCAAATTTTCAGCAAAGTGGCAACTCACTTCACACAGGCCGCCAAATAAATCACCTGCTAGTATTCTCTGCAAAAATGTTTATTGTTACTGTGTGGAGACTTAAATATAAAAATTTAATTTTATAGAAAAAAGATAGTGGCTGTTCTGTTTTTGGATGAGAAAAGGGAATACAATATACTGCTCGTATAACAGAAGAACCAGCTTCTAGAGTTCAGATTTAAAATGAGTGTGTGTTGTGAGATCCTTCCTGTTTGTTTGCTTTAAGCAAGGGTTTTGTTTGTTGCTTGAATGTATGCCTTTCACATGGTCATCTGTTCACTTACAGAATTAGGAAATTGTTTTAGAAATCCAGTCTCCTGTGTGATAGTAATAAATGTAATTTTATACCACCCATCCCCACCAATCAATGCTTGGGTATATCACAAAATGCAATCACCAAATACAGTGAAAAGCCCATGTCTACTTGTTTATTTAAAAAATCTTTGTACCTAATAACATCCTTCAGTTTTATAGTCTCCACCTGATACCAAAAAAAATGAGTGTTTTCACTAGTTAGCCTCTATGGCAATAAAGTTCCACAATTCAGGGTATCTTCTCCACAGGCACTTGCTTCAGATGACAGAATCACCTGAAAAAGATAGTAATGTGCAGACAGGTTAATGCTCCCTCAGGTGCCCAGGTTCGCACACCATGTATGGTTTTAAAGTTTAGCATCAGTGCTTGAATAGTGTTTGGAGATGAACCTGAAGACAGAGGAGGCAAGTTATATTTCAAATGTTCAGTTCCATTTTTGTTGCCTAGCTGCTGTATTCTGAACGGTGCCATATCAATCTTCAATGGCAGCTCCAAGTACAGAATACTGTAGTACCTAATTTGGAGATTACAAAAACGTGGCTTATATATTTTTATCCTGGAAGCATAGCAACTGGTAGGACAAAGGTAAGGTAAAGAACCCCTGGACGAACCCCAGTCGAATTCGACTATGGGATACGGTGTTCACCTCCACTCTCTTGTCATGACTGAGCTTCAATTTGTTCACCCACACTGAGGTCATCTGGGCACTAATTCAGTACTTCTGTTGCCTCTTATATAAAGGAGAAAGAGAGTTGAATGCTACCTCTCAAAGATTTTATGTAGAAGAGGACAAGATAATCTTGTGGGATGCCATAGCATAAATGCCACAACATTAAACAGTATTTCCCCAGCACCATCTTCTTGAATTGGCTCTGCAGGTATTATTATTATTATTATTATTATTATTATTATTATTATTATTATTTTATTATATTACTACTATTACCCTTGCGGGAGGCAGTGAAAGACAGGAGTGCCTGGCGTGCTCTGGTCCATGGGATCACGAAGAGTCGGACACAACTAAACGACTAAACAACAAACTATTACCCATCCTTCACTCCAGGGTCCCATGGTGGGTATCACCAAGATTAAAAATAGTTGAAAGCAACTTAAAATTAGAGAAATAAGGTTGGCCCTACAAATATACATCTCAAGCTAGGGTTGCATCTTCAGCATTTGCGAAAAGCTGCATAATGATGGTGCCAGATGCAATTCTATGAGAAGTGAGTTCCACAACTTAGGGGCTGCTGAAAACAATGTTCCCTCTTTGGCTCCCCACCCCACCCCACCCCAGAGGTTTCTAAGAGTGGTGGAACAACCTGAGTTCTTGGCACCTGAGAAATGGAAAGAGAACCACCAGCAAAACACCATGCCAGCAACTCCCTGTAAAGAAAGCCTGCCCAGAAGGATTCCATGGTTGATAGTATTGAAAGAAACATAGAACTGGGAAATTAGTAGAGATGTACTCCCGATGTGCTTCTCCATCAAGGCAGTTTCCGTGTGAAAAATGGGTCAGAAACCAAAACAAATTGGTTCCAAATAATTGAAGCTGTATTTACAGTGCTCTAGATTTATGTTTTCAGTTAGCCACAAGCGCTTATCATATATACTTTTAGTTCTAGACTGATGTAATCTTGGATTCACACCACCCCAAATGGCATTGATCCTATTTAGAGGTTTAAGAATATTCATAATGTCCAGGTTCAAGCACAAAATATGTAAGTAACCAAGCAGCTTGGATTTCTCCAGTCGTGTAAACTGATTCAGAATCAAGAAATCAGCACTCCCATTCTGATTGATCTAGACATATACTGCTTTTTCTGAGAAATGCTGGTAGCAGTACTGGGCAAATAGAGTTTATTTCTGCCTTTTTGCCAAAAAGACCCCCAAGGCAGCAGATGGTTTATGCACAAAAACAAATTTCAAATAAAAAAATCCAGCTTAGAAAAGTTTACGACAACAAATACATTTTTTTACAAAGACTACAATCAAAATACATTCATATTCCTGCTAAAGGCAAAGTTTAGTTCCCACAAAAATGTCAGGGAGAGCAGGAGAAAACCCTTAGGGAGCTGCTCTTTCTTATTAAGGCCCCAGTCAAGGGGTGGGGCAGACAGATGGAAAATTTTGCCCCTTGGTGGTCCAGAAAGTTGGTGGTCCAGAAAGTTGTGACTTGTGACCTTGAATACAACTTAACTACATGTGTCTGCTACTCGTCCCAACACAAATGAAGAAAGACTTCTAGGACTTAACTATAAGTCTCTTTCCATTCATGTTGGACTGTGAGTAACAAAAGCACACAAAGTGGTATTCAACTAAGTTTTAATCAGAGTAAACCCACTGAAATTAATGGACCTACTTAGCTATTTTTCATTCACTTCAGTTTGTCTGATCTGAGCAAAACTTAAGTTGAATATTATCCACAGGGTAAATCCAGACATGCCCTCCTTGTGCAAATGAGTGGACTCCTCGAATCCAACATGTTCCCAGTGGCAGAAGGGGAAGGGATTATTTCCTCTAAATTTGTCTTGCAGGCCCAAATGCCCCTCCCACTTACAGAAGGTTCTCTTACATTCCAGAATAGACTTTCAGAAGCAATGGGTTGCATGGAGAAGGGGTAATTCATGAAAATATGTTTTTCAAAATCATCTTCCTTCTGCCAGTGGGAGTGTCATGTAGCAGAACTCCACTGCTCTAAAGTCTGGCTCCAAGTATTTGTATAAAATCTGTTTTTATACTAATACGAACAAAAAACCCATGTATCTTCTCCACTGCATTTGTCAGTTCTCTTTCCATTTTCCATCATGCCATGAACTTGGATAGTCCCTTCAACAGCTTTGAATCATTTTGAGGTGGTTTCTGTAGTCCCAACACTGCTGAGCAAAATGTTTTCCTGAAATAAAAGAACTATGCAATCAGTTGTATCAGCTGAAGAGTGCTCTAGACTTTGTTTTTCTCAAATACCTTATGCCGCATGGCAAACTTCTTTTGAAAATGAGAGGAGTTTCAAAAGCCATGGCATTGGGGTCAGCTATTCAAACAAGGATGGAAGTCCTTTGCATGAATCTTAAGCAGCTCTTTAGATTCCAGCCATTGTACATAGTGACAAAATGAGATTTGCAAAGGCATGTATAACATCACATTCCTACACATATAAAACTCGAAATGCACAAGTACAAGATGGGGAATAATAAGCGAGAAAGCAACACTTCCAGAATGATTTTAGAATTCTAGCAGATAAAAAACTGAACACGAGTTAGTGATATAGTGCTGTGGGGAAATGGCCATTGCCATTTAGATTGTATCTATGGACAGGTGACTGCGGAAGTAATAGTACAGATCTACTGAAAACTGGAAAGGGCTAATTTGGGCTACTGTGGTGTGTGTCTCCTGCTTTCAGTTCTGATTCAATTTGTCTCCCAGGCAGTAAACATGGAAGTAATAGATTTGAACAAGGGCTGGTCTTCACATGGACATTCATCACTCGATTGTAACATCAAATGCTGAATTCCTTTGTGTAAATCAACCATCGTGCATCATCACAAATAGAGTTGTCAACCTCTGTGGTGACAGTTCACATGCTCAGTTCAGAGTCTTCACATTATTTATTGCTCTATCACAGGAATGTCCAATGTCTATTCTAGGGGTCTAATCCGGCCCCTGTGGCAGTTTATTTATCAGGGTCAAATCCTAAAAAAAGCTCAACAAGTTTGGTCATGCATGTTTACTTCTTCAAATCTGGTCCTCTTTGGAAAAAATTGGGCACCCCTGCTCTATCACATCTGTAGGCCACCCAAGATATTTGAGACAGCATATAAAGAGTTATTGTGCATATTATCCTCAGAGCAATCCTGCAAGGTAGGTTAGACCAAAAGAAAGTAATTTTTCAGAGAACTTCACAGGCAAGCAAAGTTTTGAACCCTGTTCATCCCAGATTGCAAGAGAAACCCTGCAAATGCTTTTGGGCAATTTGAAAGTTTTGAATATATAGAGCTAAGCCAATTCAGAGTATAACATAAATACAAATTGATGTGTGTGCATTAAGTATGTTTCATGCTTACTATCTGATTTATGCAGTGGCATTATTCTACTGTAGCATGGCACATATTCTTGGAACAAACCCTCATTAGTCCTCTGTGTGAAAGCAGAATATCAGTTCATGTTAATTCTCAAATAAGCATAAGTATTTGTTACTGCCTTTGTTTTCTTGTCAGTACCACAATAAGATATAAATCACACGAGCTAACTAAGGTTTCTGCAAAGGTGGATATTTTTTATTGCATTTTTACTTATATCACTGTGAGAGAAGAACTACCTGCATTTTTTGTAGTTTTGTTTCATATTATAGATAACAGTCATTTCTAAGTTGTTTTCAAATTGTTCTCATCAGACCATATGATCTGACTTTTACCCCCCTCTTCCAGCATTAACTACTAGTGTTCAAGAATTTCTTAATTTGGACCCTTTGGGTTGATGTATGTACAGTACTGGGCAAAGATGCCTATTTGTAGAGGAAGGGGATAGCAAGCAAAAAGAGGGGGCATGCAGTAAAGCTAAGCAGCTATTTCCAAAATGTAAAGCATTTTACTTTACTTTTTTTTTTTAATGCCCTGCACGATGGGACAAAATACACAGTCCTTTGCCATATTGTCTTTGCAAAGCCTGTCTGTTTGGTCATGCGCAGAAAGCAGCTAGGCAGTGAGAGTGGGATGTATTGACAAGAACAAGATGAATGACCCCCTGGAGACTGCGGGTTTGTATGCTAGTTTCCACCACCTTTTCATCCCTTTGTAACCCATTTTGGTTCACATGCAGATTAATTTTGACCAAGTCCTTACCAAATGCTCTCTTCTTTTCCAGCCACTTAGCTTTGGAAGGTAGACTGGAGAATCTAAATATTTATGAGGTCTTCTCTCTCTCTCTCTCTCTCTCTCTCTCTCTCTCTCTCTCTCTCTCTCTCTCTGGTTTATGATGCACCGTTGTTGAATGTAGAGGAATTACGTTAATGAATGCATGCCTGCACACACAGACACAGAAACCAGGCAAAGGGGGAAAACACACACAAAGCTTTGTCAGCTCTAATGTCGGCTCTTACCAAACAGTTCCCATGGAAAAAGAGAGAGAGAGGCAAACAGATTCAAAATCTTGCCAGGAGAAAAGGTTGTACAAAAGATGAACAAAGTTGCTTCTTTGCTTTCCTTGGCTATAAAAGTGCCTTGTTTCATATTGGGGCGGAGGGTGGGGGGAAGCCAAAATGAAACACATTCATATACAAATTAAAAGTTTGTTTAAAATGCTGTAACTGATTTGAGCTGCTCAGTAGCACAGAGAGAAGTCCTATATTGTGCTTGGATCAATGCAACCCCGAAACAAAAAGTTAACAAATGGCACAGATCTTGTTTGCTTATCTTCTTGCATACTTTCTTTGTCTCTGAGGATTTTGTATACAAACAGATATCAACTGGACAGGATTGTATGACATATGGTGAATGCTGATGTTCTTTCTTCCCTTGTGCAATGTTTGTGAAACTGGTCCATGCTTGACTAAGACTGTCATTCTGTATATACTTAGGAACAAGCCTCATGGAACTCAATGGGTCTTACTTCTGAGTAGACATGCATAGGATTGGGCTAGAAGCTCATGCTCTGGACACCTCCTGCCTTGACTACTGCAAGCCTCCTTTCTCAGACTTTCCCTTGTCGTGCATCAAACCTCTCCCTGCCTCAGAACTCCACTGCCAAAAATGATAAACCTTTCTAGTCACTCAAACTATAGAGCACTATATTTAACTATATTTAAGTTCAAATACTTAAATTGGCTTCCCATATAACTTATGTCCACAACAAACACCTTCACCTGCAGTCCTGTCAGGCTCCCTGTGTGTATTGTCAGGTAGATGGGGAAGAACTTGCAGTTACTAGTCCTGTGTACACAGTTTCTCACCTGAATCAAATGGCTGGAGCTACTTAGTGGGAAACTACCCCCCCCCCCCCCCCCCAAAAAAAATAGAAGGTATTTTCTAATTTGACAGCATAACATGTTTAAATGAGGTCTTCTATCTTTGTATTTTAATTTAAACATTTAATATGGGTTCAAAACCATATTTTACAATGAAATCTGCAGAATTTTACACACAGATGAATGCATTTTATTAAAATACTGGAACTGAAATATAGACTGCTTTACTTTATGGCAAAAGACTAATATTTTAAATCTTTAATTGTCACTGTCCTCCCTGCCTCCACCCTTTTTATTCTCTGGCCTTCACAAACTTAAGCAGAAGGTGGTACAAATTTTCTCTGTTTCCTTTCACAACAGAGCAGTAGGACATGGAATTTTAAAACATGCTGTCTGTGTTAGCATTTTAAAAATGGTTAGGCAATGGCAGAATGTTTGCTTGTTCTTTGAATACAATAGGATTTTTACTATCTAACTCCTATTTATATTTATGTCTGTTGGGATTTCAAAAGCAGTTACCCTAATAAATGTGTTCCAGTTTTTATTGTGCTTTGTTTTCAAGTTGTCCAATTTGATATGTAATTGAATCCAATAAAGCGATCTACATTTCATTTGTTCAAAGGCTATCATTTATGTCAGGCTCAATATTGACACTGCCATTTACATTTACATTGCTAGGGACTTTGTGGAATGAAAATTCGCTCCGAGCTAGATCTGATGCAAAATGAACTTACTGTGCAGAGTTTGCTGCACACCAGGGGCCTGCAGTGGAACTATTGCAATGCCTGATAAGTCTTAGCAAGATGGGCAAGAACCGTTACAGTGGCCAGGTTCACACATTACACTGAGCCAATGTTAAGCTACAGTTTCTTAAAACAAATCTTGTTTAAAGCACCAGCTGCCCCACAGAGGATTAAAAAAATCAATGTACGTTCACAAGTTGTAAGTGAGGTTTGAAGATGGTGGTGCATCATTTAGCATGTAGGAGTTCAGAGTGTCTGCTGAAAGAAGTCTGCTGATATTAGGAATAAATACTAGTCAGTGACCCCAATGAGAAGCTGAGTATTACAAAAATAAAAATGAATAAGCAGCATGTTTGTTGGGACTATCACCGCAGGGGTAGAACATGGTCCACTGATGGACCACTGGGCAACTTCAGGTGGGCCACCTGGTGCCTGCTGGTTGCTAAAACTCTTGCAAGGTGTGTTGGACAATTCCCTTGATCTGATCCAACAGATAACATCTTAGGTTCTTAAGCAAGAGTTCATTCTTGGAATCTGTTAATCCAGTTCAGCTAAGCATTAAGTGTACAGATATCATTGGTGAACTACAGGGATTCTAGATTTTTTAAAATTATTATTATACAATCTAATTCCTGACATCAGTTCATGCTTGACTTGAATTTAAACATATTTTTCTGCATTGTACTTTTCCCAATTGAAAGTTTTTATCGGTATTCTCCCATATATATGTTTTCCTAGTTTTTCTGGAGTTGCTGAATACCAGATAGAGAAGTTTGCATAAACCTCAATTTGAGCATTATTTTTCTATTAAGAAAGAATTCAGTCTTTCAAAACTACATGAGTGGAATTTGTTTGCATAAATGTAATTCCACAAATGTCAGTGCTCAGAAGCTGAGTGCTAATTACGTGATCTAATTTTGGTGATTTTTTTTAAAGAAGAAAAGTTAATGTCAGGAGTCACCCATATTTCCTTTTTACAAACGATTTATCTACCCAGTTATTTGTATCCCACCCTTCTACAACACAGCTCACAGTCTGAATAAAATCACAATAGAACAGCAGCCATAAGAATTATGAAGGGAAGAGATAAAAGGACTGAGGCGGCAGCAATCAACAACAGATGTCAAATCAGGAATACACTACAGAGGAGCACATCTGAACAGGAGGGTTTTAGCTGACTTCTAGAGGGAGATTTTAAAAACGTGCTTACCCAAATATCATGCAGCACACAGCTTCCTTAGCTTGGGTACAATTGTTAAGAAGTTATGCTCTCTCATATCCACCATGATCGGTCATACCTCAGGTGGTGTGGAATACAGAGTAAGGGGCCCCTCTAAAGTATGAATCTGCATGCAGGCAGAATCATTATCAGTGGCAACCCTTCTGGTGGATCGTCTTAATTTTCACTTAGACTTACCAGGCAGAAACAAGGAACTTTTAACATTCTGATGGTGGCCAGAGAGAGAAAACGTTCAGGAGACAATGTTGAGCACCTTTCGCCATGTCTGTTCAACGCCATCTCCTATCTTTGTCCATATTCCTTTAAAGCACAGTGGGGAAACCTCAGATCTGGGAGTCAGATGTGTCCCTCCAGTTGTCTCAGTCTGGCCCTCACATCTCATCACAGACCACATAGTTCACGGGTCCTGTTTCACACTCTCCTCAAGTGTTTTTGCCTAGCTGGAATTGTTTGTGACCTGTGATAATGCTTCAAACCTGCCTGAATGGAGAATGGGCCGGTATGTAAGGTGGGGGTTAGAAACTCCCGATTTCGCATGGCTGGAACGAGACCTGTTGTGTGAAAGGTCACAAGCCGCTCTACTCATATTTCCTTCTGGCCCTGCCGCCTTTGCATCCAGCCAGGCCACCCACTGGCATTTGCCCCCCTCCAAGTTTCTCACCTGTGCTTTAAAGAAATAGATATGAAACAAAATACATCATATACAGTTCCTGAACCTCTTAAGCATGTATTTATGAGCAATTACACCCAGTACTCATAGAGCAAGGCTCCCAAGTTTTGTAAGCCCCAGTACCTATCCCAAAGTACCTATCCTGCATTGTTTGATGCTAATCTCCAAATGTCTTTGAAACATTAAAAGATTATAGCAACACTCCTTATACCACCGCCTTCCTATACTCATTTCCGCTACAGTTTTACAGAAGCCATTTCAAAATAATAGCACAGAATTTAATAACGCCTTCACTAAAGCAGCGGTAGCCAATGTGCATTCCAGATGTTGTTCTATAGCTCCCATCAACACTGGCCAGTGGTCATTCTGGCTGGGACTAAGGGGAGTTGGAGTCTTGAAGATACCACATTAGCTACCTCTGTGCTAAGGCATACAAAATAGGGCTCACAGCTCATACTCAGCTCTTGGTCTTGACAGAAGCTTTTACTTAACCAGTCACAGAAAATACTTTGGCAAGGTAAAAAGCAATATGGCAGACCCAGCATATGAATATTTTTCTGTAGACTACTTGGAGGTTTTCGTACAATCAATCAGTATGTATATGAATTTTGTTAAATAAACAAATAGAATTTGAGGATTACATATCATTGAGTATCTTTTGGGGGTCCTTTTAGGATATACTGCCACCATTTCGTCTGGACAAACATTTGTCTTGGAAGGTAAACTTTTTAAATGTCTATTTTGCTATTATGTCAGCAAAATCCAATTCAAGTGAAAGCTTCCAGACCCTTATTAAGACCCTTCAGACATGGTTAAACTCAAAGGAGCAGAAAGCATTTGCTTGGCTTTAATGTAAAATATGCAGAGCAAACCCATCCTTAATTAGACACACATGTCTTTCAAGATATCAATAAATGTTTTTTTGGTAAGTGTGGTTTAATAAAATGTAATAACAAGAGAGTGAATGCACCAAAGACATAATTTAATAGAGATTAAAATTAACAGACACAAATTTGCAAACCTCAGCAGTGGCTAACAGTCCATTTATTTAAAGAAAATAGCTAAATTCCAGTTTTACTGTCAATTGGTCAAACAGGGATGGGGAAGAACTCTGGAATTTTATTGTAACTCATTTTGGAATATCAAATGATACTTCCTCCTCTGCTTTATATACCATATTCCAAGTTTACAGAAGAGTGCACCAAAATTTGATAAGTTATGTTCATTAGGCGTTCAGTTTGGAGGCTGTCACATTGCTGCTGCCTAATGTGTTCTGACTTCCTATAACTTTCCAGGGAGGTTTTGACCCAGGGGCTGAAAACCCTTTTGGGCTTATGGACACATTGGCAAACCAACCAAAGGAACTATTGTGGGCACCCCACATATGCCACAACTACGCACACATTGCAACGTTGTCTATCAGCTGCAATGGAATGCTTTCCCCACCAATTCTAATTTCAGTGGGAGTAGAGATGGAAGAGGATGCCCTGTGGGCTCCAGAGAAAGCCTCTGGGCACACGGGTGCCCCTGGCCCACCATATTGGCAGCCCTTGCTTGACCTATGAAATGAAAAGTAGCTTGGAAGGAACCCATGTGTCTAAGAATGCTCTTCTCCCTTAAAGACCACTATTTTGGATCAAGAGCACTCACTTGGCTATCAGCTGACCTTAACCTAAAGGATAAGAGAATGTGTGGACTTCTTCCATCTTCAGAAAGGATCCAGCGATAGTGGTCCAAATTTGGAGTTATCATGAAATATGGATCTGTGGGCTGTGATGTTGTTTTAACAAAATGAAATAAAATACCTCCCTACTGGGTTTCTGCAAAGTTTTAAATTGGTTTCAATTCCATTTCTAATACCATTACCTTAAAAAAAGATTTTTTATTCCCCCCCCTTTCAAAACAAGTGTACTTGTCAGAAAAAAATCAATGTTATCCTGAATAACCTGAAGTTGCCATGTGAAAAACTTGTGTTATAGAAGCCATATGGTGGTGGTGAGGATATGGAGGATAAAAAAGGTTTTAAGAAAAGGTTGCACAGAAGAAGAACATTTTTGGAACAATAGTACTTTCGTTTGAATCTCCAAAGGCAAAGAAATCTACTTTTGCACAGTAGCTACAGACAAGGTGCATCTCTGAAGCAGAGGCTTTAGGAAACCTCAAGAGGAAGAAGTCAAAACTGTATTACACATACATCTTTTCAAAAGTATCGTAGCTTCTCTAAACCGAACACTGAACTTTACTGGTAGCCTGTGTAACTCAAAGAGAACATGCACAACCTGCACCACAAACTTGATGCCATGCATTATTTTACACTAGGAAATCGACTGTGCAGATCACAGGACAGCAGTGTCAGGTAATCTTGAGGAATCTCTCAAAATCAGAGGCATACAAAAGGGGAGTCATGTACCTTCTGGAAATGCTTAATTCCCATGCAGACTTTTCTTTAGTCTCATTCTTCACATTGACAAACTGATACTGTGTGTGTGTACCAATGCAACATTTAGGATTGTTGGAGGGACAATTTTCTTCCCGCTCTCTCATATTTCAGAAATGAGGCATCAGAAATATCTGTATCTCTGGTCCACTTAGTAGTTCTACAGATGGCGGTACCATTTTTCGATTTACATAAATGTTTATATAAATACTAGATGTGTTTGCCAAAGGATGTGTGGATGACCTCGATATACTCAATATACTCAGGTTTCTTTTCAGATCACATAAATATTTCACCTTTTTTACTCAATATGAGCTAAAAAAAACCACTACCACAACCCATCCTATTACAATTCACAGCTTCTTTGCCATTGAATCTTGAACATATCCCAGCTCAGGTCTTTGAGCCTTTTTGTTGTTTAGTCGTTTAGT